AATCTAATAACAACATTTTGATGAAACTTTTGGATTTATTGTTACTTCCATCACTATAATATATTTATATATATATATATAATATTGATCATTATTTATATATATGTGTGATGGCTTCGGGCATCCTGGCCAGTACTTGAGACTTGTCTGAAGCTGTGCGGTAACATCTGTCCACCCTCAGAGCAGCGCACCTCTGAGCTTGATGTAGAAGATTCCTTTTCTTCTGTATATTGGTTGCTCGTTTTGACCAAATTACCGCACCGTAGATCAAACGGCTGTGTATGACGCCGCATCAGGAGGCTTCTTTTTGACTGCGAAGGCCCTCCGACATTTGGCATAATCCTCTTTAGAGCAGTTTCCGCATTCTTAGCCCACATAGCCACGATGTTTATGTAATCCACAAAATGTAACCTGGTGTCCAGTTGGACCCCCAGGTATCTTATTGAAGGCTTCACTGTGGTCTGTCGTCTTTGGATGTACAGATTGTGCGCACGAGAGAGTTGCTTCCTCGTGAGCATCACACACTCTGACTTTTCAGGCGCTAACTTGAGGTCTTAAGATGTCATAAAGTCACAGATTTTCTTGAAATTGTGGGCAGGGCCGACGCAAGAAGTTTTGGCGCCCTTCACAGCCCCCTTCTTTTATGACTAGTTTGAGTAGTATTAAAATTAAGTTTTTTAGTAAGTTAAATACAATTAGCATGTATTTTGTATCATAACAATATTGTAATAWGGTTAGACATATTATTTTATTAACTTATAAAATTGTACAACGAAAATAATATTAAATTTATATTATCATATTTATAGATAGGTACTGCGAAAAACGTGTTAAGTTAATAATACTAATTTTCATAATAATAAATATGCGAATGTGCGAATGTGCGATTCACCACGTTATATCGACCGTTGCGCCATATATTAATTATTATATATCATATATTCATATCAATTATCAAAATTCAATGTATATTCATATTGACATAAAATATAAAATCAAATAATATAATATTATTTCACACCACCAGCCCACCACTGCCTACAATATAGGAATATTGTGTTTCTGGTTTCACTAACTACTTATTAATTAAAACGRAATTTATTGTAAAAAAGAAACCAAAATACTATGTACAAATTTACTAAACAAAATATATGAATATTGATTACCTGTTGGCGCCCACAGAAATTTTTCTAGGGGGGGGGGGCAATGTTAGGATTTGAGGATAAATATTATAATTTTACTAGGTGTTTTAAAATAATAACATTTTTTTATTATACTCGTATACAATGTATTATATTTTATTATATTACAACTTATTTTATACTTTAAATTTGTTGTATAGTATATAGTCATTTATCTTAAAACATTMAATTAAAAAAAATATTTTGAAAAAGCCAAGGGTGGGGGGGGGCAAATGCCCCAGCTTGCACCCCCCTGTGGGCGTCTATGGTTAGCAGTTACTTGTTAGCTTTTACATTTGAGTATTTGACATTACACAGCAGACCGTACGGAGCGAGAGCTTGTCGAAAACAATAAATTGAATAAATAATTGTGTGTGTCAGACAATTGTATCTTTTTGATTTACGCTGCGGTATTTTCACCGTAAGGTCCGATTGGGTTTTACCACCACGGTTTTTCTAACGAATCTAGCCTTAATCGTCTAGTTATATGATTTTATTTATAAATAGGTAAATATTATAATATGAAAATAATTATTACGACCATCTATATATTTTATTGACACACATAAATTCGGTGGTATGCTTCCATAGTTCCATGTAGGGCTGAGGACTTCTAGTACTTAAAAATCTAATAATATGCACTTAAAATATGCTCTAAAAAATTATTTTATTTTATTATTTTATCTTATTAGTTATTAATTATTATAATATTTATTTCAAAAAAATTAKTAAAAATTACATGATGGTTAGTTTATTAAAAAGTGTTTAAAAATTACATTTCTTTTTGTTCTCTTTGTTCGTTTTCATCTCCTTGATCTGTAAATATAAAACCTTTTGTAAAATAAATTTTTATCTCGAATATGTACTAAGTTAACTAAATGTTGTATACTACCTAACTTTACTATTACATTGAACAACAAGGTATTTCCTTATATTTTCAACTTGAAACGAATGTCGGTTATCTGCTAACAATGTTTTGTATGTTGAGAAAGATCGTTCTACATCTACGGAAGTTAACGGTGCATATTTAAAAAATAACAATTAATTTGCTTTTAAATCTTCTGGTAAGCCATCCATTGAAGTAATTTCTCCATTCAATATTTTTGAAATTATATTTAATGTTTTATAGCCATTATTTTTTACTAAAACATCGTCTAGTTTTCGCAGCACTAATTTCCCCACTGAACCTGTTGTTTGCGACAATTTTAAATAGGCATTTTATATTATCTCAATTCCATCGGATAAAGGCATATTTTTTGCTTCAAGGCGATTGATGACATCGGGCAAAAATCCAAAGTTTGATTTTATGTATACTAGATTTGAAGCAACGTCTGGATCACTTAAGTACTTTTGAGAGTTTTCAACACTAACAGAATCTTTTTCATCAAACGATGTAATAATATCTCGTATTAGTTCGTAATTATCGCAATAATATATAGCTGCTTTCAACCAGGTTCCCCATCTTGTTATGATTGGTTGTGGGGGGGAGTGATAGGAGTGGTGCTTTTTCTTTCAAACAATTAATGCGATATGGAGACTTGCAAAATACTTTCTTCACGTTTGCTATAATTTTATCAACTTTTGAGTAATGCCCTCTAATTTGTTCAGCAACTCGATGAAATGCGTGAACAATACATGTAACGTGAATCATTTTCGTATAAAATATATTAAGCGATTTTCCCGCTTTAATCATGTATGGTGTCGCGTCGCTTAGAAATAATAAAATATCATCATGTCGTACACCTTCAGGCCATAAAATATGCATAGAATTATCAAATAATTTAGCGATTGTAATGTGTTTTGATTTGTCTAGTTCTGCACAGTTTAATAAAAACACGTGGCCTGGCCCATTAAGTTCGAGCGTTCCTACAATGACATTTGCGATGTAACGACCTGCGAAATCTGTCGTCTCATCGATCGAAACCCAGATTTTTTTGCCAAATATAAAACTTCTAATTTTCACTGAAGTGTCTTCATAAATTTCATTCACATAGCCTTTATGAAGTGTAGTTTGATTTGGAATTTCTTTCGAAGTATATTTTTCCAAAAATGACTTAAAATTAGGATTATTTAATTTATTTAATGGAATGTTAGCCGATAACAAAGCATAACATAAATCTTTATTAAAAGAAGACTTTTTTGTGTTACTTAAAAGTTGTTGTTGAGTTTTTTGTAAATCAAATTTATTTTTACTTTGTTTTCGCTTAATAGCTGCTTTATATTTAGCTGTGTCAGTGTGTTGTTGAACGTTGAATTTTCTGTCACTTCCAACTTTTGAATCGCACAATTTACAATACAATATTTTTCCGTCAGTTGTAAATACTGGATTACTACATTCACTAAATTCCGACACATAACTATTTAAACGAGAAGCCAATTATCGTATTTCCTTTGTCATATTTGTTGAAAATAAATAAATATTACTAAACAAATTTGAAAGAGATGAAATAATTACTCGACGAAAATATTTCGCGCAGTTGCACAATAATACGAGTACGCGACGAAATATTACGGACAACTGAAGTTAACTACCTATAAGTGTTTCGGTTTTATCGATTTTATCGGTATATTTTATCGGCCAGATAGTAAATTACTTACCGATGGTAAAAATATTATTTTTAAATGGAAAATTTACCACTTTGTTCTTTTTTGTCTAAGCTAATTTATGAACTTATTTCGAAAATTGCCAAATATGTTCTTACATTTTCTAATATACCCAAATAGGCATTAATATGTAATAATGACAAAATATGCAAAAATATGCAAAATAAAATTTTTTATTTGATATCCTGGTGTTATGGAACACATTTATTATTCACTAGAATTTTTCTACGATCTATCTAAAAAAATATGAAAAAACTAGAAGTCTTCAGCCCTAAATAATACATGTATTATTTTTATATCAAAACCAGCGGTATCGATGCACTGTTATATTATTCTTATATTCTACAAATATGACTAGTATGAGACAATTGAAGATGCATCTTCCCTGATCAACCCTGATTGCCCCTTCATTTCCCCGTATCACCAACACACATTTAAAAATAATGATAATTCTTGCCCTTATTGTATTCGCGTTACCTCCACAATTAATTACGCTTTCGAATTTATTGATGCTCACTTTAAACCCTCCCCCAATTGTAATTCTTCTCCCTTACAGTCAAATGGCAATGTAAACCTTAAAATCTATTATMAAAATGTACGTGGCCTTAAGACTAAGCTGACTAATTTACGATGCGCTGTCCCTATGTTTCTTTCTTACGAAATCATTATCCTCACAGAAACATGGCTAACTCCAGACACGGATGGGAACTTGGTCTCTTAAATCACCTTAATGTTGAACAAGTTTTTGCTATACTCTGCTCTTGGCCCATCCTCACTTTTAATTGGGTCAACATATTTACCTCCGTCTAGTTCACATTCTGTCATTGAATCCCATCTTTCCACAGTGAAGAATCTCATAAAAACCCTTAAAGCCACCTCGATTATAATTTTTGGTGATTATAATTTGCCAGGTATAACATGGTCATCCGGGATTTTAGGTCTCTCAGCCACACTGGAGTATTATCACCGTCATCTTCACTCATTATAGATTCCTTCTTTTTTCTAAACTTCTTCCAGCTCAACCATACACGCAACTGTTCTGGAAACATCCTTGATTTAGTGTTTTCTAGCTCTCATAATCTATCAGTCCTCAAAGCTCCCTCGGCTTTAATTAATCCTGACCCCTACCATCCTCCATTGGTTCCTCCTACCTAAACAAACTTAGTATTGATGTTACTCATTCCTATTATGACTTCAAAGCTGGTGACTTTGAATCTATTTCGAATTTCTTCAACTCTTTCAACTGGGATGCCACCTTTTCTAATTACTCCACAAATGATGCACCCACAGTTTTCAATGATGCAATTCTAAACTCAATTAAAAAATTTGTCCCCAGAAAAATATTTAGAACCTCAAAATTTCCCCGTTGGGTTTCTCCCTCCCTAAAAACCTTGATCAAAAAGAAAAAGTACGCTCACAAATTATTCAAGCAGACCAATAGAGCCTCCGATTACTCAGTTTTCTCTGAGCTAAGAGCAAAGTGTAAGCGCCTATCCCTCTCAGACTACAGGTCATTTATAAGTGACACCGAAAACTACCTCTCTTCCAATCCATCTTATTTTTGGAAATACACTAGAGATCTGAAACAACACTCTTTAATCCCATCTTCTATACACGTTTCTGGTGTAACTGCAGATAATCCATTAAGCTCTGCGAATCTATTCTCCAAATTTTTTTCTTCAGTTTTCAAGCCCCCATTGCTCTCCTATTCAAATAATAACTCCGAAAAAATGTACTCATATAATCTTCCTTCTAACTGCTCCTTTTCATGTGATAATGTGCTTTCGGCTCTTCAATCGCTCAAAAACAATCATTCAAATGGACCTGATAACATCTCTGCCAGATTGCTCTATAACTGCTGAAACTTCCTGGTTTTCCCTCTATTCATTCTTTTTAGACGCTCTTTAAGTGAAGGAATCTTTCCAACTGTTTGGAAAACATGCTCAATTACCCCTATCCTAAAATCTGGTGACCCGTCCGACGTGTCCAATTATAGGCCAATTTCGATTCTTCCCCATCTGGCAAAACTGTTCGAATCCATTATTTACTGTTCCATTAAAAGAAGTCTCAACCACATTATCCATAATAATCAACACGGCTTCGGACCTGGAAAATCCACCGTCACTATTAGTTTATCATTTACCTCTTATATTTTGGACAATCTGGAAACTGGTTCTCAAGTAGATGCCATATTTACTGACTTTAAGAAAGCCTTCGACACAGTAGATCATGGTCTTTTAATAGATACAATTGATAAACTCAGTATTGATAATCTTCTCCTCTCCTGGTTAGGGTCCTATCTAACATCAAGAAGACAATTTGTCTCCATCGGTGGAGCACATTCCGACCTTGTAACCATACCTTCCGGTGAACCCCAAGGTGGTCATCTTAGTCCCCATCTTAGTCTTAGTTAGTTCTTTTCATTCTATATATGAACTCTCTCAATGATTGTTTATCCTTTGTTAAAGTTCTCTTATTTGCCGATGACATTAAACTATATCTAAAAATAAACTCTACATCTGACTGTCATACCGTGCAATCCGACCTTGATACATTTTCAGATTGGGTAAGACGTATTAATCTTACACTTAACATCGATAAATGCCACGTAATGTCCTTCTCACGAAGTACTCGTAATTCACCTCTCCACCACACCTACCTCCTTAATGGTTCTCCTCTTAATCGTATATTTCTTGTTAAAGACCTAGGTATCTATCTCACGCCCACGCTCATTTATGACCACCATATCAATACTATTATCGGTAGAGCACTCAAAATATTAGGATTTGTTAAACGTAATACCGCCAATTTCACATCTAGCTCTTGCCTCCGTATACTGTATTTCGCCTTAGTTCGCTCCGTTTTAGAATATGGAGTTGTGATGTGGCACCCATACCTAGCGCGCGATTAACTGAGACTAGAGCGAGTACAAAACAGATTTTTATCCTATGCTGCCTTCAAATTAAAAATTAAACATCCCATACATGATTACTCACTCAAATCTACGAATCCAATCTTTAGCTTCTCGCCGCACAGGGGCTGACCATCATTTCATCTCTTCACTTCTTGAGGGATCTCTAGATTTTCCTGAATTGCTCTCTTTTATCTCTTTCCGTGTTCCGTCTCACTTTACTAGAAATCATTCCCTTTATCAATTACCTCACCACCGCACTTCCTATGGATTCAACCACCCACTCCACAGAATGTTACGCAGCCTCAACTCAACCTAGTCTTCCACATTTTTTACCAGATATTTATTTCATATATTATACTATAGTTTTTTTTCCTCTTTGTTTCTACTGTTTTTTTTATAATTAATTTTACCAACAAAATATTGTATTTAAATTAATGCCTGTCATGGCGTAGATCAATAAAATAAATAAATAAATAAAACGACATTAGATAATGAATATTTCAAATTGTATAGATTGTTAATGCGTTTTAAAAGATAAATAAATATGGGCCCAGGTCGCCCATAGCTTTCGCCGGCCCTGGATGTGGGTTTACTAATTGCTCAACTAACTCATCATTATGTGCCACTACCATCACGGCCACATCATTAGCGTAGATTACCAGCCTGATGCCTTCGCGTACCGTAATCGCAAGACTCCATCATAAGACAAGTTTCATAGCGTTGGCCCCAAGACAGAGCCGTGTATAACACCACACGGCACACGTTACTGGTAATCTCTGATTCTCGTTAATGATCAGTTCTCTGGCTTGCATATAGGACTTCAGAGATTTAACCAAATATACAGGAACTGCAGATCTCCCTAGTGCCATATCGATAACCCTCCAAGGCATTTTTACATCAAGCGAGAATAGTACGCACAAGTGCCTATTTTGTACCGGGTCGTGATTTGATTCATTTCTTCGATTACAGTCAGTATGTCTTCGATTGCGTTTGTTGTGGATTTCAACCGTCTGAACCTGTATTGTGAATCATTGATCGTACCAACCCTGGTGATGTGACTCTCCAGTCTATTGAGTAACACTTGTTACTGTGCAACAAAAATATAATAAGATATGCTGGTCACACACACAAACATAATTACTGTTCTAATTATTGTTTTATTTTTGTGTGAATTATATAATATATAGATAATCACCAATATCGCATGCCGCCGCAGCGGTTACGTGAATATTATTTAACACAGCCGCCGTGACATTTTTGTATCGTATAAAATGTTGCCGCGTCAACACCGGTCAGTGCCGAAATATATTAATATATTCTTTTTCCACAATAGTGGTAAATCTTGTTGTATTTTCTTTTTTTTATTGTCACAAGTGCCAGAAGGGCTTATTATTATTATAGTAATTGAAACTTGTATGTGCCTAATTTATATCACTGTATCATGTTGTGTGTTTTTTTTATTGTATTTTTATGCAGCGGCTGGCCAGCAGTGCACCGACCCCTTGTGAGTTATTATTTTATTAATATATTTTTGTTGTATCATATTTTCTTTGTCGTGCCATAAGGGCCGTAGGTATATATTATTATTTAGATTCTATCGTGCCATAAGGGCCGTATATTATTATTTGTATTTACATTTTGTTTGGTCATAAGGGCCACACATTATTTTATATTATACACTTTATCTGCCTAGCCATAAGAGCTGAGCATTTATATTATAAACCTGTATTCTGTTATGCCATAAGGCTATATTTATATTTATTATTTTATTCTGTTCGGGCATAAGGACCGCATACTATTTTTTATATTGTTACGAACCCCTGAATCTGATTATTATAAATATGAATAATATAATGAATATTATTCTACATGAYATTTTGTAAGACCATCAGGAATAGTGTGTTGTGCGACGGCTAGACCGTGGAATCCGCTGACACAGGATTTTGATTGTGACACGGAGCGTCGTCGTACAATACACTATACGGGAGGCCAGTCAGTCTTATAATTACGTC